TGCCTGACCATGGGGACATCGTGCGTTGTAGGTTTCTCTATGTTATATTCCTCTTTTTCTTGGCTACCCCGTGCTCTACGCCCCTTCCCTTTTTTTCCATGTATGCTTTATGGTATGGGGTCAAAAGGCATTCTCTCTAAAGGGAAACCATTTTCACTTGCTGTCTTTGTATGTAATCCAAAATTTGGGTTTCGGGGCCCGACTTGTTCTCTTATGATTCTTTCCCTGATCTTATCTTTATGGCATCCTACGCCCTTCCCAGACACTATTTCCGTGGTAAAATTTTTCTTTTATGGTTTGTCCCACTACTAACTTTAAAGTTGCATTTTGGTAGGTGAGTTTTCATTGCAATTACCATCACTTCTGTTTTTCTGCTGTTCAAACTAAAATCCTTGTTTTCACTTTCCGTTACACTTATATCCATCATTTCTCACAGTTGTGTTTTATTTTCAGCGATCAAAACTATATTGTCAGCAAATCGCAAGTAGTAAAAAATATGCCCACCAACTGATATTCCTGATGTTTGAATCTAATTATTATTTCACTGTACAAACTAAAAAAATCTGGTGACAGTACACATCCCTAACAACTAGATTCATGTTTTGAAAAGTTCCAACTTGGTTGTCAATCTTTATGATTGCTTCTTGTTGCCAGTATGTTTTTTTCTAAAATTAATATTCTTAGATCTTCACCATCAGTGTTAAAGGTTTCTAAAATTTTAATAATTTCTTCATGTTTACTTTAACAAATGCTTTATTGTAATCATGTCAATCCTTCTGTCTGAAAGTTTTCTCAAGATAAACATAGCCTTATGTGTGCGTTTACCTTCAACAAAACCACACTGCTCTGTTTCAATTTTTGGTTTAATTTTGCACCTTATTCTTCTCATGAAAATTCTAAATATTTTAATTAGATGACTCATTTAACTAATTGTTCGATGTTCTCCACATTCCACCGCACCAGATGTCTATGGTAAATTTATGAAATAAGATTTCAAAAGGTCATCAAGTACGCGTCCACAGTTATAAATATCACTGAACAATTATGTCAAAACTTCTAAACCCAGTTTACCAGCAGCGTTTAATTCTTCAATTGTGATGTTATCTGGCCCTGGAGATTTACATTTCTTCATGTGGTTTATAGCATCTTCTACTTCCACTTTCAGGATTGACATCCTTCCAAGTACTCCTGACTCTCTATGTCTGGTCTGCTGTTATCATCGTATAGCCCTTTTATATACTCTTTCTATCTTTCAGTTACCTTCTCTTTGTCCATTAACATTTCACCTTTTTTTTTTTTTAAGCAACTACCTGTTCTTGTATTCTTTTATACATGTCTTGTGTGTTCTCTCTTTGTTCTTCAATTTCTTTGCCCTTTTTATTTAGCCATCCTTCTTTCGCTGCATAACATTTACGTAAAATCTCTCAATGTATGGAAAAGATATTTAATAGATAAGGCATTTAATAGATAAAATATTTGATAGATAAAAATGTAATGGATAAGATACTTACCAGATAAGATATTTAATAGATAAGATACTTAATAGATAAGATACTTAATGGTTAAGATATTTAATGGATAAGATACTTAATAGATAAGACTAAAAGATAAGATATTTAATAGATGATAGATAATACTCTTAATAGATTAAACATTAAAAGATAAGATATTTAATGGATAAGATATCTATTAGATAAGATATTTAATAGGTAAGATATTAAACAGATTAGATATTTAAAAGATTATTTATTTAATAGATGAAGTATTAAATAGATAAGATATTTAACAGATAATATATTTAATAGATAAGACATTTAAATAAGACTAGTAAAGGTGAAATCTGATTTAAAAAAAAAAAAAGAAAGACAGTGTGCAATTAAAGTAATTTAGTATAAATAAAGGAAAAACTGCTTTTACTACAACAACAAATCAAATTGATCATTGCACAAAAAAGGCATGACTGGATTCTTCTGTCTTTACACTCTCAGTTGAGATAATGGAGCTCAACCCATTAATTTACCTTTTGTAAACTTGATCATGTATAGTTGCATTTTTCAGGTAGTTTTCTACAGAATAAGCTAATCAGCAAAATGCCAACCCTCCTTGATTGTCTTTGATGACATACATATTAGATAATAGCTTTACTATTCTCTGCTTTCCTTATGAACCTAGTCACACACTGGCGAAGACCATAACAGGCGTAGGCAGATCTGTGACTCACCATCAGACGTCTCTTGCGGTGTGGAATCAAAGGCCTGCCAGCCTCCATAGCCTGCAGGGAGGTCAGGTCTGGACATCCATGCCTCGTTCCAGCAGTGGAAGTTCCTAGGACATGTCAAAAACAACATCAGCAACAAGCATGCAGTAGTGAGGAGTGATCAGTTCACATGTGTAGGCTTTCGTAGGTAATGATGACAATGGAAAAAGAAGGCATGATATTTTCCTCATTGTTTCTCTGTCGAGAGAATGCATATGCTGCTAGAAATTTAGATTTCAAACGTTAAAGTTTCTGCATCAGTAGTGTAAACATTCAGCAAGCATTCTTTTCAATGTGTTCAAGATATTTGTAGTATAAATAGCCAACAACAATAATTAATAAGTAGTAAAATAACTAGGGCTGTACCGAATATTCGCTTCGTATTCGCTTCGGGGCCGAATAGTGGACCTACTAACTATTTGGTATTCGGCCGAATAGTGGCGGTCGGGCCGAATACGAATAGTGATTTCTGCATACACTGCGATGGACTAAAATAACTTTCTCATTAATAATGTCACAATTTATAGCCGACTTTTCTTGATTTTCGCCGCGGCACCCCTGTCATACGCACCCAGTTTTAGAACCTCTGCTGTAATGCCTCAGAGTCAGGCGCTGTTACCCCGCAAACGGGTCGCCGTTTTTCCCGCTACGAAAGATTTAGGCATCGCTACTGTTGTGTTAAAGAAGGCATGAAAAAACTTGAAAGTGTATATCTGTGTGTGTGTGTGTGTGTGTGTGAGAGAGAGAGAGAGAGAGAGAGAGAGAGCGAGAGAGAGAGAGAGAGAGAGAGAGAGGTGTCTTTTCCCAAATCAAATTGAAGATATTGCAAACGAGAATATGAAGGTGCATTTAAATTACATTGAACGAACGCCTGAACGAGGCGGGAGCCCGAAGACAACTAATCGCAGACATCAGAAGAAGACAGTCATCATATAAAAAGAGTGAAAATGGAACACTGGAAAGATTTGTGGAAGGAGAGATAGAAAAAGACAACGAGAGAAGATTCTTGACAGTCGTTGCATGTCATGGAGGTGTGTCAGCACACAAACTGATACATGCTGCAGGAGATCGCAGATTGTGGCGAGGCAAAATCGCCACACCAGTCGGCGAGGCACCTGATGATGATGATACATTATTTGTATTCGTATTCGGCCGAATAGTTGGTCCCACTATTCGTATTCGGCCGAATAGTGAAAACCACTATTCGGTACAGCCCTAAAAATAACACATTTCTCTTTTGCACAGGAAAGTGTAAGTGGCACTGGAAAGTGTAAGTGGCACAGGAAAGTGTAAGTGGCACAGGAAAGTGTAAGTGGCACAGAAAAGTGTAAGTAGCACAGGAAAGTGTAAGTGGCACAGGAAAGTGTAAGTGGCACAGGAAAGTGTAAGTGGCACAGGAAAGTGTAAGTGGCACAGAAAAGTGTAAGTGGCCCTGGAAAGTGTAAGTGGCACAGGAAAGTTAAGTGGCACTGGAAAGAGTAAGTGGCACAGGAAAGTGTAAGTGGCACAGGAAAGTGTAAGTGGCACATGAAAGTGTAAGTGGCACTGGAAAGTGTAAGTGGCACTGGAAAGTGTAAGTGGCACTGGAAAGTGTAAGTGGCACTGGAAAGTGTAAGTGGCACAGGAAAGTGTAAGAGCACAGTGCCACCAAAAGCTCTAGGCTGGAGCACAGTGTCACCAGAAGCTCTAGGCTGGAGCAGTGTCATCAGCAGCTCTTGGCTGGAGCACAGTGTCACTCAGCTCTAGGCTGGAGCACAGTGTCACGTAGCTCTAGACTGGAGCACAGTGTCACTCAGCTCTAGGCTGGAGCACAGTGTCATCAGAAGCTCTAGGCTGGAGCACAGTGTCATCAGCAGCTCTAGGCTGGAGCACAGTGTCACTCAGCTCTAAGCTGGAGCACAGTATCACTCAGCTCTAGGCTGGAGCACAGTGTCACCAAAAGCTCTAGGCTGGAGCACAGTGTCACCAGCAGCTCTAGGCTGGAGCACAGTGTCACTCAGCTCTAGGCTGGAGCACAGTGTCACTTAGCTCTAGGCTGGAGCACAGTGTCACTTAGCTCTAAGCTGGAGCACAGTGTCATCAGAAGCTCTAGGCTGGAGCACAGTGTCACTCAGCTCTAGGCTGGAGCACAGTGTCACTTAGCTCTAAGCTGGAGCACAGTGTCATCAGCAGCTCTAGGCTGGAGCACAGTGTCACTTAGCTCTAGGCTGGAGCACAGTGTCATCACCAGCAGTTCTAGGCTGGAGCACAGTGTCACTCAGCTCTAGGCTGGAGCACAGTGTCACTCAGCTCTAGGCTGGAGCACAGTGTCATCAGCAGCTCTAGGCTGAAGCACAGTGTCACTCAGCTCTGGGCTGGAGCACAGTGTCACCAAAAGCTCTAGGCTGGAGCACAATGTCACCAGAAGCTCTAGGCTGGAGCACAGTGTCACCAGCAGCTCTAGGCTGGAGCACAGTGTCACTCAGCTCTAGGCTGGAGCACAGTGTCATCAGAAGCTCTAGGCTGGAGCACAGTGTCACTTAGCTCTAGGCTGGAGCACAGTGTCATCACCAGCAGTTCTAGGCTGGAGCACAGTGTCACTCAGCTCTAGGCTGGAGCACAGTGTCACTCAGCTCTAGGCTGGAGCACAGTGTCATCAGCAGCTCTAGGCTGAAGCACAGTGTCACTCAGCTCTGGGCTGGAGCACAGTGTCACCAAAAGCTCTAGGCTGGAGCACAGTGTCACCAGCAGCTCTAGGCTGGAGCACAGTGTCACTCAGCTCTAGGCTGGAGCACAGTGTCATCAGAAGCTCTAGGCTGGAGCACAGTGTCACTTAGCTATAGGCTGGAGCACAGTGTCATCACCAGCAGTTCTAGGCTGGAGCACAGTGTCACTCAGCTCTAGGCTGGAGCACAGTGTCACTCAGCTCTAGGCTGGAGCACAGTGTCATCAGCAGCTCTAGGCTGAAGCACAGTGTCACTCAGCTCTGGGCTGGAGCACAGTGTCACCAAAAGCTCTAGGCTGGAGCACAATGTCACCAGAAGCTCTAGGCTGGAGCACAGTGTCACCAGCAGCTCTAGGCTGGAGCACAGTGTCACTCAGCTCTAGGCTGGAGCACAGTGTCATCAGAAGCTCTAGGCTGGAGCACAGTGTCACTTAGCTCTAGGCTGGAGCACAGTGTCATCACCAGCAGCAATTCTAGGCTGGAGCACAGTGTCACTCAGCTCTAGGCTGGAGCACAGTGTCACTCAGCTCTAGGCTGGAGCACAGTGTCATCAGCAGCTCTAGGCTGAAGCACAGTGTCACTCAGCTCTGGGCTGGAGCACAGTGTCACCAAAAGCTCTAGGCTGGAGCACAATGTCACCAGAAGCTCTAGGCTGGAGCACAGTGTCATCAGCAGCTCTTGGCTGGAGCACAGTGTCACTCAGCTCTAGGCTGGAGCACAGTGTCACTCAGCTCTAGGCTGGAGCACAGTGTCACCAGAAGCTCTAGGCTGGAGCACAATGTCATCAGAAGCTCTAGGCTGGAGCACAGTGTCACCAAAAGCTCTAGGCTGGAGCACAGTGTCATCACCAGCAGCTCTAGGCTGGAGCACAGTGTCACTCAGCTCTAGGCTGGAGCACAGTGTCATCACCAGCAGCTCTGGGCTGGAGCACAGTGTCATGACCAGCAGCTCTAGGCTGGAGCACAGTGTCATCACCAGCAGCTCTAGGCTGGAGCACAGTGTCACTCAGCTCTAGGCTGGAGCACAGTGTCACCAAAAGCTCTAGGCTGGAGCACAGTGTCATAAGAAGCTCTAGGCTGGAGCACAGTGTCATCACCAGCAGCTCTAGGCTACAGGTCACAGAGTCACCAGCAGCTCTAGGCTGGAGCACAGTGTCAGTCAGCTCTAGGCTGGAGCACAGTGTCACCAAAAGCTCTAGGCTGGAGCACAGTGTCATCAGAAGATCTAGGCTGGAGCACAGTGTCACTCAGCTCTAGGCTGAAGCACAGTGTCACTTAGCTCTAAGCTGGAGCACAGTGTCATCAGCAGCAGCTCTAGGCTGGAGCACAGTGTCACTTAGCTCTAAGCTGGAGCACAGTGTCATCAGAAGATCTAGGCTGGAGCACAGTGTCACTCAGCTCTAGGCTGGAGCACAGTGTCACTTAGCTCTAGGCTGGAGCACAGTGTCACTTAGCTCTAAGCTGGAGCACAGTGTCATCAGAAGCTCTAGGCTGGAGCACAGTGTCACTCAGCTCTAGGCTGGAGCACAGTGTCACTTAGCTCTAAGCTGGAGCACAGTGTCATCAGCAGCTCTGGGCTGAAGCACAGTGTCACTCAATTCTAGGCTGGAGCACAGTGTCACGAAAAGCTCTAGGCTGGAGCACAGTGTCACCAGAAGCTCTAGGCTGGAGCACAGTGTCATCAGCAGCTCTTGGCTGGAGCACAGTGTCACTCAGCTCTAGGCTGGAGCACAGTGTCATTCAGCTCTAGGCTGGAGCACAGTGTCACCATCAGCTCTAGGCTGGAGCATAGTGTCACTACCAGCTCTAGTCTGGAGCACAGTGTCACTCAGCTCTAGGCTGGAGCACAGTGTCATTCAGCTCTAGGCTGGAGCACAGTGTCATCAGAAGCTCTAGGCTGGAGCACAGTGTCACCAAAAGCTCTAGCCTGGAGCACAGAGTCACCAGCAGCTCTAGGCTGGAGCACAGTGTCACCAGAAGCTCTAGGCTGGAGCATAGTGTCACTCAGCTCTAGGCTGGAGCACAGTGTCACTCAGCTCTAGGCTGGAGCACAGTGTCATCAGAAGGCATCTCAACCTACTCCTGAATATTCCACTTCAACAATAATGTTTTTTCTTTAAAATACGTACTCTAATAACCTTCTGATAACCTGACAGCACAGGACTGAACGCAAAATGGGAAAAGAATGTCAGCCCAGGATAATGTATGAACGACCTTGTAACATTCATTGATTCATTCATTTATCTTCTTATTTATCTGCTTCTACTACTTCTGTCCTTAATCTGCCATTGCAGCAGGGACCCTGGACAAACTCAATGATGCTTTTTTTTTTAATGAGTTCATTAATGTTTGGTGTTTTGGAACTGCTCACCATCATCACCATCATCCATCCTCATCACGCATCATCATCATTATCATCACCATCATCATCATTATCATCATCATCATCACCATCATCATCATTAGCATCACCATCATCATCTTCATCATCATCAGTGTCATCATTAACACCATAATCATTATCATCATCCATCATAATCATTATCATCATCATTGTCCTGATCAACATCATTGCCATGATCAACATCATTATAATCATCATCCATCATCATCATTATCATCATCTTTAAAGTCAAAATTGGAGATACTATACCCAACTTCTCATGGGAACAATCAGTAGAATTAACCTGGAGTGGCTGCTGCATCGGAGGATTGAGCATGCATGGGAATACTCAATATGCCAAGAAACTGATTGTAATAACATAACAAAACATGAGGAAACTAGTTTACCAGACAGAGTCACAAAACATGAGGAAACTAGTTTACCAGACAGAGTCACAAAACATGGGGAAACTAGTTTACCAGACAGAGTCACAAAACATGGGGAAACTAGTTTACCAGACAGAGTCACAAAATATGAGGAAACTAGTTTACCAGACAGAGTCACAAAACATGAGGAAACTAGTTTACCAGACAGAGTCATCATTGGAAAGATCATCCAACTCTCCATTTGCCTGGAAGTGCACATCAATTGTGATGGAGCCGTCAGTGTCATGGGCAGATTCAAAGTTTGTTATACAGCGAGCAGGGATGCCTAGCGCTCGGCTGACTGCACGTGTGGAAATATGCAAATGAATAACATTACCATAAAACCATTATGATATACATGGTATCGTTAGCATACACAATATTATCAATTTCACTACCTCCCTCCCTTCCTGTATGGGTTCCAGGGCCACAGTGAGGGGGACAAAACAACAAGAATAGACCTACTCCCTCATAACAAGCATGTTATAAGAGTTGACTAATTAAGGGCTTCTTTCAAAGTCAGAATGCATTTGCCTGAGAGGCAAGGAACCAACAGTAAAAAGGTAAAGGTAAAGTCAGGAGTGGTGAACCAGCGTTATTGCACATGGTTATAAACCATAGCTGCTCTGCCACCAGTACGGACAGTTGATAAAAAATGTCCCGCCTGTGTTGCCATCCGCACGTAACTCCGTAGGTACAGCAATTTTTCTCCATTTACCCCAGTGTCAACTCTGGTACCTATTTCCTAGAGGCTGGGTGAACTCCGGGAACCGCCCGGTTTCAAACACCGGCTGTGGGCTGCAGCGAGTTGCAGCTGGATTTGAAAGTGAGTCTTCTATCGACTGCGCTAACGTGTCCACCAGGAACCAACAGTTTGTATACAAAAAAGCCTCATCTGTCAAATGTATGTGCACACAAAACTCAAGTCCTGGAACAAAACTAAAGTCCAGAAGTGGACGAGTAACCACAATTTTGCCCTAGAGTTTACAGCCGGTGGCCATGAAGAAGAAGAAGAAGAAGAAGAAGAAGAAGAAGAAGAAGAAGAAGAAGAAGATTTCTATCTCGCTCATATTTGCACTCTGAATATGATCACACCCAATGACACAAAACTGAATATGATCACACCCAATGACACAAAACTGAATATGATCACACCCAATGACACAAAACTGAATATGATCACACCCAATGACACAAAACTGAATATGATCACACCCAATGACACAAAACTGAATATGATCACACCCAATGACACAAAACTGAATATGATCACACCCAATGACACAAAACTGAATATGATCACACCCAATGACACAAAACTGAATATGATCACACCCAATGACACAAAACTGAATATGATCACACCCAATGACACAAAACTGAATATGATCACACCCAATGACACAAAACTGAATATGATCACACCCAATGACACAAAACTGAATATGATCACACCCAATGACACAAAACTGAATATGATCATACTCATGTCCAATATTATCATTTGCTCTATTTTGGGCAATGACTATTTCTATCAACCAAAACTCCCTCCTTAGAAATGAACATGCAAACATTTTTATTCTGAACAAAAGATCCTAAACAAAAACTAATAGTAAAATACACAAGAATCACCTAAAAACACAACAAAGAAGATGTGTGTCACATGAACCCACCCTCATACAGATTTTATAACATAAACACAAAAGAGAAGATGTGCGTCACATGCATCAACCCACATACATCTACAGATAGCTTTCAACAACACAACAGAGAAGATGTGTGTCACATACGTCAACCCATCCTCATACAGACAGTCTTACAAAAAACACAACAGAGAATATGTGTGTAACAGACACCTTCTTCACAGGCAGCAGATTCTTTTATGCCTATCCTGTACAGGTGTGCTTGAAAACCACAGTGTCCAGTTGTTGTTTGTTTTTTCCTGTTGAGTTTGTTTATGCTGTCACTCTCTGGTCTGTAATCTCAATTATGCCTTCTCCACTCCCGCTTGAAAGACTGCTTTAGTGCTGTTTGGTTTCCTTGTAGCTGTGTGGTGGATGAGGTTGTGGAAGATTACTCCCAGCTTTTGCCAACTCATCTGCTCTCTCATTTCCTTAAATACCACAGTGGGCTGGTATCCACTGCAAGACCAGTTCTGCTTCCTTGGAGAGTAAGCTAATGTTGGTCCTTAGATCTGCAATTAGTTTGTCTTGTTTTTTGCTTGATAGTGCTTTGAGAGCAGACAATGAGTCACTAAGTATACAAATTTTGTGCCCTCTGTGTTCTTGATTGATGAGATGTTGGACTGCAGAAAGGAGGGCAGTTGCCTCAGCTCTGAAGTTAGTGCAGATGTCACCTAACAGACACCAACCCATCCTTATACAGACAGTCTTATATGAACACAACAGAGACGTGTACCACATACTCGTAGTGCAGACCCCACAGAAGACCCAGCACTGGCCAAAGCGTACAGGAGTCTTGCTGGCCCAGAACTCCTCCAGAATAGGAACTGACCCAGTCCAGGAAAGAGGGGATGTGCCTCCAGTGTAGTCACCAGACCAGTTCCCAGCCACAATACCGCCATCATCTGGAGCATTCACCTGCAAAAGGGAGCAAAAGAAACAATCTGATAGATTACTGAAGATCCTCAACATAAATTAGGAAAAAACACCCCTTTTGAGTAATCAAAGTATCAACATAAACACACAAAAAGCCGTTGATGAATGTGCTATTGATAGAAACTTTGCGTGCTATCAGTGAAGGACATGGATAGTTTGTTTCGTATCCTTTACAGGACGTTGCAGAACAAATCCTAACAGCCCCTGGCTGTTGTGTGGTTTCTCTTGGCAAATTTACGTCCAGTAGTTTGCCATTGCTTTCTGGATGGTCGGCTTTCTTGATACCAGTGTCGAAACCAAGGCAAGGCGCATTGCCCGCAACTGGGATCGAACCCGGCATCCCGGCATTATGAAGCGAAGCATTCGCATCGACTTAGCCACAGAGCCGACTGAAGGACATGGATAGTTATTGACAAAACAAATGCAACATTACAAAATATGAAATGAGATGTGAAAGAAATGAGGCGGGAAAACCAAGAAGAAACAAGGGTCACCAATGAAGAATGGTAGGCACAGTAATGGTAAATGATTTCAAATAACATAAAATAATCATATGGTTTGGTCATCAGCAGATAGAGCATACTTTATAAGAACAACAGGCTACAACGCAAGAGGTGTCCAAAAAAAAAAGAGATGGGTGGAGGGAGTAAAAGAAACTGCAGAATCGCAATATGACATTAAGTGATTTGACCATTGTTCTTCGTTCTTCATAGCTGGACTCCTCATCTTGTTGTTTTTCCACTGCATTTCTTATACATCTCATCACCCATGATATAAATGTAGGTTTATGTTTTTCTAGGAAGTTTTCTTGTCTGTCACTGACAGCATAAAACTGTTAGGAATAGTGCATTTACCAGAGGCATTTTTGTGTGCATGTTGATATTTTTGTCATATATATATATATGCATATTAGAACATTTTATGGAATAAATTCATGTCACTGAAGGCTATAAAAAGAATTCTTGCATGTTATATAGAGCCAATTGTAGCATATATCTGTGAATATTGAAAACTAGACAGTTATTAAACAAGCCAAAACATTTCTTGAGATCTTGGATATGTGGTTTTACAGAAGAATCCTTAGACAGCCAAGAAGAGACATCTAAATGTTTTGAAAGAGGCAAGTGCACTAAGACAACTTATCACAAACATCAGAAAGAGACATTCATCCTTTTTTTAGGCCTTGTTATAAGCAGAATGAAACTGGAACATGTCGCGCCCACTGGAAAGACCTGTGGGGTAAGAGACAGAGGAGGACAATGTGAGATGATTCTTGACAGTCTTTTGTTCTGGCATGGAGGGGTGTCACACACACACAAACTGAAACAATGAAGGTCGCAGATTGTGAAAATTTATGATCGCCCATGCCAGTCAGCATGGCACTTGGTGATGATGATAATGATGATGATAATGATGATGATGTTGATAATGACGATGATGATGATGATGTTGATGATGACGATGATGATGTTGATGATGACGATGATGATAATGATGATGATGATAAAAGGATGATGATGATGATGATAAGGATGATTATGATGTTGATGATGATCTGTCAAATATCCAACTTACGGTGGCTGAAACCTTTCTGATGACCGGGATTGGATTCCCTCGAACAACCCAGCTCATATCAGTCATATCCAGAATAAACAGGGCCACATCCAAAACACATGACTCAAACTGGCAAATAAACAACAGAAGGCAGATTTTTATATTACCAAACAATTGCACATACATGAACAAATGACAACTGGTCCTACATTAGTACATGAACAAATGAGAACTGGTCCTACAGCTGTACATGAACAAATGACAACTGGTCCTACAGCTGTACATGAACAAATGACAACTGGACCTACAGCTGTAATGAGCAAGTGAGAACTGGTACCACAGCTGTACGTGAACAAATGAGAACGGGTCAGACAGCTGTAAATGAACAAATGAGAACTAGTCTTAGAGCTCTACATGAACAAATGAGAACTAGTCCTAGAGCTCTACATGAACCAATGACAACTGGTCCTAGAGCTCTACATGAACAAATGACAACTGGTCCTACAGCTCTACATGAACCAATGACAACTGGTCCTACAGCTCTACATGAACCAATGACAACTGGTCCTACAGCTCTACATGAACAAATGACAACTGGTCCTACAGCTGTACATGAACAAATGACAACTGGTCCTACAGCTGTACATGAACCAATGACAACTGGTCCTACAGCTGTACATGAACCAATGACAACTGGTCCTACAGCTGTACATGAACCAATGACAACTGGTCCTACAGCTCTACATGAACAAATGACAACTGGTCCTACAGCTGTACATGAACAAATGACAACTGGTCCTACAGCTCTACATGAACCAATGACAACTGGTCCTAGAGCTCTACATGAACAAATGACAACTGGTCCTAGAGCTCTACATGAACAAATGACAACTGGTCCTAGAGCTCTACATGAACAAATGACAACTGGTTCTAGAGCTCTACATGAACAAATGACAACTGGTCCTAGAGCTCTACATGAACAAATGACAACTGGTCCTACAGCTCTACATGAACAAATGACAACTGGTCCTACAGCTCTACATGAACAAATGACAACTGGTCCTACAGCTGTACATGAACAAATGACAACTGGTCCTACAGCTGTACATGAACAAATGACAACTGGTCCTACAGCTCTACATGAACAAATGACAACTGGTCCTACAGCTGTACATGAACAAATGACAACTGGTCCTACAGCTCTACATGAACCAATGACAACTGGTCCTACAGCTCTACATGAACCAATGACAACTGGTCCTACAGCTGTACATGAACAAATGACAACTGTCCTACAGCTCTACTGAACAGCTGGTCCTGTACATGAACCAATGACAACTGGTCCTACAGCTCTACATGAACAAATGACAACTGGTCCTACAGCTCTACATGAACCAATGACAACTGGTCCTACAGCTGTACATGAACAAATGACAACTGGTCCTAGAGCTCTTTCTATATGTGGTGTACGTTTGTCTGTTATATGTTCTTACCTGTCTGTTGCCTGGAATTGAACTCTAGTAGTAGCTAGTGCTCTCACATATAAAGTAAATATATGTACTCAAATCCTTTTCACAACTAGAGCAAGATAAATTTAGGGGAAGAGGAAGAATCATATCAGAGTAAACAATCAAGAGTTATTACCTAAATGAAACTGTATGAAATCAGAACATCGTAATTATTCAAATACACGGTGAAATAAAATAAAGTTGACAAATGTATACTCTACCTGGCCAAAGTTCCATGGTTTTTCCCGGATACTTGTTTTATTGCCAGTGTAGATTTTGCCTGTTTCATTGAGAACGTATTCTTTCAGCAACTCCTCATCTGGCATGTATACAGTGTCGTCTGCAAAGAAGCAGTTATAATTTATAATATGCAACAGAAATTATACATGTCTTACTAACATTTAATCTGATAATTGTTTCATCTTCTTCTTCTTCTTCTTCTTCTTCTTCCTCTTCTGCTACATTTATGCTTAAAAGGAAAAGTAGTTGTACACTGTGTTATACAGTTCACAGCTCATCATCATCATCATGTGCCCTGCCAACTGGTGTAGGCGCTCATGCGCCTTCACAGATCACGATCCTCGGTTGCCTGGAACAGCTCTCTTGATGGTATCCCTCCATGCCATCATTTCAGCCCATCCAGCATCATCTATTTTGGTCTGTCTCTATTCCTTTTTCCACTGATCTTTCCAGTTGTCACAATGTTCTCCAATGTCTCTCTTCTCATTATGTGGCCAAAAAACAGTGTTTGTCTTTCTTATTGTTGTAAAAAGAAATTTACTTTCATTAGCTTCATTCAAGCAATCGTTGTTAGTTACTCTGGCCGACCAAGGTATTCCTAACATTTGTCTCAGAAACCACATCTCTGTTGCTTCCAAATTCTTCCTCATTTGTTCACGGACATTCCAAAATTCACTGCCATGCAGCAGAACAGGTTGTATATAATATTTTAGGACTCTCTTTCTGACATTAAATAAGAGCGATTTATTGCATAAGATATTTTTCATTTTCTGAAGTGCAGCTTTCGCTTGACCTATTCTGCTTTTAATCTCTGTCACACATTTTCCACATGATGATATGATTGTTACCATACATTTGAATTTATTGATTTGGTTAAGTCTTTTTCCTTTAATTGAGATATCACAATGTGGAGTTATCTTCTTCTTTGATATAACCATTACTTCCATTTTCTTAATATTCAATGAAAGTCCTTTCTTAACACTCTCCATCCCCACAATATCCAGCAGTTGTTGTCAATCAGTTGCATTTTCAGTTATCAAAACAGTATCATCTGCATAACGCAAATTGTTTATATTGTATCCTCCAACTCTTACTCCTGCATTCTCATTAATTTCCCTCAAAATTATATCTCTATATAGAGAGAAAAGATCTGGGGATAAGACACATCCATGTGTTACTCCTTGAATTATCTGTTCAAAAGTTCCCAATCTGTTTCCCACTTTAAGTGCTGCTACTTGGTTCCAGTATATGTTTTTTATTATTCTGAGATCTTTCCCATCTACACTGATGTTTTCCAACATTTTTATCATCTCTTCATTTTTACAGCTAGGCTGTAATATTTGTGCCTTTCAGATCATAACATCTGATTTTTGCAAACATGTAATAAGTCTCATTTTATGACACGCTTGTAATGGGCAATGGGTTTATTCATTGCCCCAAAATGTGCTACCAATCCCTAAAATGTGCTACCAACCCCTAAAATATGCTACAAACCCAAAATTGTGCTACAAACTCCCAAAATATACTACAAACCCAAAAATGTGCTACCAACTCCCAGAATGTGCTACCAACCGAAAAATATGCTACAAAATCCCAAAATATGCTACCAAGCCCCAAAATATGCTACAAACCCAAAATTGTGCTACCAACCCCCAGAATGTGCTACCAAGCCCCAAAATATGCTACAAACCCAAAAATGTGCTACATTTTAGGCGGGTCGACCTGCACGTCCCATACCACGACAAAAATCCACCATCGCATGCAGTGTCGATCGCGGTATGCGGCTTACACGCCTTAGCCACGGACGCCGAGAAGTGCCACCAGAATGCGCTACCAACCCAAAAATATGCTACAATTCCTCAAAATATGCTACAAAGCCCTAAAATATGCTACAAACCCAAAAATGTGCTACCAACTCCCAAAATATGCTACAAACCCAAAAATGTGCTACCAATCCTCAAAATATGCTACAAACCCAAAAATGTGCTACCAACTCCCAAAATATGCTACCAGCTCAAAAATGTGCTAACAACCCCAAAATGTACTGCCAACTCAAACTTACCCTTGCACCACGCATTGAAGATGATGTAAATTTGCTCTTTGTGCTGGTATCTGAACACATTAATACTGGTATTGTCTTTCTTGACTACCTCAATCTCAAACGCCCACTTGCCAACATAGCAGTTTGGCGGAGTGAATATATCGATGCTGACAATGTTTGCCTGCGGAGAAAAAGTAGCAGTAGAATTCTTCTTTATTTATGACTTTAATCATAGTTCAATTTTACTTACTTTTTTCTGCAAATCTAATTTATTGCTTAAAGTATCTTTTAGTTTTTGTTTGCTGATGAAAGCTTTCTAACCACAATGTCCATTCTATCAGTTGTGACTGTTAACAGTTAGGACGCAAAGATATGACAATGTGATTTCTGTATTTCAGTTTTTTAAAAAAAGATGCAATGTTTGTTTCATTACCCCTTTTTTTATGAGTCTAAAAGAAATGACCTAAATTCAAAATTTCATTAGTAAGAAAGGCATCCTTATAATTCTCTAAAACTCTACCAAAAATACCAGTGGAAGAGAAAAAAAAAAGGCAGAAGAATTTTGCAGTCTTGGTCAATTTTGATAAAAGCCAGGGGGCTTAATTTTATGACCTCCAAGCAAAGAGGCAGATTTGCTGGCCACTGTCAGGACAACGCTACCTTGATAAATCCTCACACAGCAACTTTTAACATATTAATTTGTGCATAGGGAAGTAATCACTAAGTTTCAATGGGTTAGGTTCACGTAAATCTTCCCAAACAAAGTAGGTCACTTTTCATTCACAAGTTTGTTGGGCTGGTCGACTTTCCTGAAGGTTACGGGTGTGTCCCGCTCTGTTGTTTGCTTTCTGTCTTGTCTTGCATTTACTTTTCTATTCCGAGAAAGAGAATGCCTGTGACAAAGGTTGTGGCACTCTTAAGAGGGTTGTGTTAGGGCCGGTTTCTCAATGTTTTAGGAGTGTTAATTGTGCTGGCATGCTGAAAAATACAACATGCGATATCAGTGGCATTGCGGAACACCCCATAACTTTGTTCCTGACAAGTTCAGGAACTACCAATCAGAAGTGAGCTAGTGTGGGGGGTGGGGAGATTCACGTTACTTTAACTTTTAAATGTATTAGAGAATAAACTGGTCTCTTTTCCTTTTGACCCAATATTTTTTAACTTGCCTACGTGAAGCAGTGTCGTCAGATTCAGTTAATTTTAAACTACAATTTCCAAAAATCAAATTTGTATCTTTCACTGAAATTAATATCTCAGAATTTTTCGGGGCGGGAAAATTTAATCATGCTCGTTACATCTACTCGTTACATAGCTTCCATTTGTACCAAAGATGTTAGAGAGCGTTTACAAATTGGTGCTGATGTTAAAAATAAAATTATGTCTCACATGTAGTGCAATATAAATGAAAATATTTTAATATTTATTTCGTTCTCTACATTATATCAGATTTTATTTCCCGCATAACAAGTAATTCGAATGCATTCTTTGCTTTTTTGAGGTATATAAATTAGAGCTGTACCGAATAGGTGTTTATCACTATTTGACCGAATACGAATAAGGGACCAACTATTTGGCCGAATATGAAGTGTATAGTGAATAAAATTATTCTTTAAAAAAAAAGAAAAATATCCATAATGTCAAATGTTCGCTGATCTATTACTTCACAAAATGTAGTACAGAATAGTAAACATAAAAACATGTAATGTTTTGCATCGTTCAGTCAGTCTGTGGTAACTAAAAACTAGGAATGAAAGTATTCTAAGTATTCCAGAAAGTTACTAAACTTGTAAATTGTCACTGACAGTTTAGGTAATGCAGGAAAGCGATATTAACTTTCAACAAAACCAGTCGTTCCATGTTGTCAGCATTAAGGCAGCTTCTCGTCTCACTGTATTTCCAGCTGTACTAAACAGATATTCACTTGGTACGCTCGTAGGAGGTGCACAAAGATAACGCTTGACAGTATGAACCGATGTGGGAAATCTGGACATGTTTTACCTTTCACAAATCCAATGGGTCAGTGTCTATGGGATACATTTGGCTCCAACAGGTGGTTATTCATTTTTGTTTTAATGGTAACTTTAATGTCGCTATCCTGTGCCTTAACAGGCTGCAACTGATCCCAGGAGGTCTAAAAGTCGTTAGGTTTAATTTTTAGCTGGGAGTTCTTCGTCAGCTGCAGAAAAACTTCAGAAGTCTGGACAGTGGCTGTATATATCGATGACTGGCAATTTTTTTATGTTGCACTCACAATGGCTGTCTTGGCCTGTATTTGCTGCACATTGGTAAAAAAAAAATGTAGTTTGAAGCGAGGATCCAAGCCAACTGACATCACATACAAGCTATTTTCATACAAGTCAAAAAATCTTCTCCTCATTGATGCTACAAGTTCTCTGACTGTCTTCGTGATGTCCTCATCACACACATTTTTCTGAACATACAACAAGATAGCCTGAACAAGCTTGTAGGATTACTGAAAAACAGGAATTGTTGCCGCTTATTTCAGGTGTCAATTGTTCAAACAGCTGCAGAATTGCAATATTTCTTGTTGCTAGAACACACTGGCTTGTTGTCAGTGTTAGAGCCTTTTTGTAACAACTATTCGTATTCGGCCCTACCGCAAGTATTCAACTGAATACTTAATAGCTATTAGGTCTAGTATTTGGCCCCGAAGTGAATGTTTGGTACAGCTCTAATATAAATATACAATCGTCCCTGCTGGGACAAAGGGTTACAAATAAAACTACCTCTGCAGAGACAATTTTGGCACCCCACTCTTTCGGCTTGTCCTCATCAGACAGGATGAACTCAACATGTGTCCCCTTGCTAGCCAGTGGTTTGACACCTGTTGATGGTACAGAAAGCAAACCGGGTTAGAGAATTGAAACCGAATCACATATGTGACATGAAGAATACCTCTTACCAGTCTGTGATATAAAAAAAAAAACCACATACCAGTTTATGATGTCAGAAAACCACATAACAGTCTGTGCTGTCAGGAAAGCCACATACCAGTCTGTGATGTCAGAAAAGTCACATACCAGTCTGTGATGTCA